ACACAACATCGTAGGTTGAGACTAAAAGCCTTCTGTTGTTTTTGTTGCTACTGTTTTAACAGACGATATAGGTATTCTGGTGGTGCTACTGTGCTGCCGAGTTACCTTAAACATGTTATTTTTCACTGTATTAATGGTATGTCATTTTTTACTGTTAAGTACTTATGTGTGAAAAAGTGTAAGAAAATGATTATCAGTAGCATAATAAATTCAATCAGGAATGATGGTGATGATAAACAACCATAGATTGTCTATATGGGTGGCTGAGGTAGTGACACCTTTGCTTTCTGATGGTTCAGTGTACACAAACTTTGTTTCATGCATAAAATTATTTAAAATATTGTATAAAATTTAATCAAAACACAACATCGTAGGTTGAGACTAAAAGCCTTCTGTTGTTTTTGTTGCTACTGTTTTAACACGATACAGGTATTCTGGTGGTTCTACTGTGCTGCCGAGTTACCTTAAACATGTTATTTTTCACTGTATTAATGGTATGTCATTTTTTACTGTTAAGTACTTATGTGTGAAAAAGTGTAAGAAAATGATTATCAGTAGCATAATTCAATCAGGAATGATGGTGATGATAAACAACCATAGATTGTCTATATGGGTGGCTGAGGTAGTGACACCTTTGCTTTCTGATGGTTCAATGTACACAAACTTTGTTTCATGCATAAAATTATTTAAAATATTGTATAAAATTACCTTCAGACTATGTATATAAGGTGTATATAAAACCTAAATGAATTTTGTATTTAGACCTGGGTCACATCCCCAAGATATTTCATTACGTATATGCAAGTATTCCAAAATTCAAAAACACCCGAAATCCAAAATAATTCTGGTCCTGGCTGGTCGGTTAGCTCAAGTTTGTTAGAGAGCAGCTTTATAACATCATGATCATGGGTTCGGATCCCCATACCAGCCAGCTGCCAAAAAAAAAAAAAATCCGAAATACTTCTGGTCCCAAGCATTTTGTTGGCTTTTTTCTTTTTTTGGTGGCTGGCCAATCCAAGCCTTTTGGATAAGGGATGCTCAATCTGTAATTAAACAACTTGACTGAAAACACATTCTCTTAAGTACACATGGAAGTTGGAAGATCTGGAAACCAATTTCCTTCACATTATTTGTGCCTGCATACCCCAGTTTGAAATCTGAAATTTAGCAGGTAAAAGAAGCCCAATAGCATGATTTAGTAGAAATGTTAAGGGACAAGTGTATTTAACTAGTCATGTTTATGAAAAGCCAACATAGAGACTGAGTCAAAATACCAGAAACTCTAGTAGAATAAAATCCCAGTTAGCAAAGGGGACATTTCAAAAACAGAAAAATGGAACCAGCCAAAAAAAAACAAAAAAACAAAAACAAAAACAGAAACGGGGGCAAGGAATATATGGGAATTGTACTTTCTGCTCAATTTTGCTATGATCCTACAGTTGTTCTAAAAATAATCTATTTAAAGGGAAAAAGAAAAGACTGACGGGTAGGTAGTCAGTAGCAAAGTTTTTTGGCAGGGAAGAGATATTTAATCTTAGTGTAAATAAGGCCCCTCTGAGAATGGAAGGCAGATGTGTGATTAGGTCTGAAAGAATACAGTGATTGTTGAGCAGTAATAAAAGCACACTTTAGCATAATTTTTAAAACTGAAAGTGGGCTGTATTCTTCCCAGCAGTCCCAGAAAAAGTGCAGAAATTGGGAAAACTCAGAAATTCTGATTTGCTGAAGAGTTGATTGGCAACACTAGCCTCATTTTCATACTAGCATGCCTCTGGTGGTTTCTTTATTAAAATCTAATGTCATCAAGTTTTTTTTTTTTAAGATGACCAGTAAGGGGATCTTAACCTTGACTTGGTGTTGTCAGCACCGTGCTCTCCCAAGTGAGCCATGGGCCGGCCCTAATGCCATCAAGTTCTTTAAACTGCCTGGGCCATGGCAGAAAAACAATTCCAGGGTAACCTATTCCATTTCTAAGTTTTAGCTATGAGACAGCATTCTTGAAAAATGGGTGTTACAGACCAAGTATATGTATCTTTGGGAAGTGATGGAAGAAATCAAAACCACCCACCTTTTTCAGAGACTACAATCACTGATACGCTTTCACTCTAGAATGGCCATTTCTGCTTCCCACTTTTAGGACATTCTTTTCCTCCAAAGATTCCCATTTACATATTTTTATAGTAACATTTGCTAAAGGACTGATGAAGACTTAGGAAATGTGGAAATTCTTACCATGACCACCCAACTATTTAACAAGTCTCTTATTCTCTTTACCTTTCTTATCTGTGAAATGGTGATAGTAATGAATATGTCCTCCTGGCTCTGGTTGGTGTGAAGATCAAAGAAGGTAACATATGAGAGCACCTTCAAAACAAAAGGGTAAATCTATACTCCTCTCTATTTACAAAGCAGATAGATTAATTAACCTGCTTAGTAATTACACAAAGAGGAAGATAATTATCCAGGATACCTTGGATACTTTCTTGATAAGCATACAAAGATACAGTTCAGCAGTGATACGGCCATCAGCAGTCTTGGTTTCTTCCACTGAGCAGCAGGAAAGATTTGTACCTAATTCCTCCAAGTTCTCATATTTGCTGTTTATTTACCACCAGAAGTTGGCAGTATCTGAGTACTTACTTTCCTTTTCCTGTAGCAAATGGGGAAATGATAGAGGAGTTTGTCTGCTCTTCCCTTGTGTGTATGTATATATATTTGTATATGTGTATATACAAACTCCTCCCTCCAAATACCAGCATATTACAGCTGGCTAATTTAGAGAGTATGCTATATTAGCCACTTGAAAATACTATTTGGCACTCTAAATGTGCTTAAACTGCAAAGAATATTCACTGTGTCAGAGTCTGAGCTCAGAAAACTTCATTGAATGTCCATTTCTATTCTCGTAAGTGGAAACCCAAATGTGGTTTAACTTCTTAAGAATACTATTGCGCTATGCTGATCAAAATTTTCCTTGTTTTTACTAAACTAAACAAGTTATTTAAAAATTTTTTTCCG